AGTTATCTTCATTGAAAAGTACAGTGCTTTTCCTTCAAAAATAAGGACATTTCAATGTGACCCCAAACTTTTGAACAGTTGCCCGCGGGTGGTTTCCCTTTTTTCCTCAACATCCAGGTCTTCTACCAGAGGCCTGGGAGCTTGGGGGGGTTCTGCGCAGTATCTTTCCTGTTCCTAGAACTGTACTTTTCTGGAGAGAGATGTCTGATGTATTTCCAGGGATCTTCTGTAACCACTCATCAAGTTTTAGGGTCACCGCCCCTATGACAATGGGCACCACTGATGCCTTGAACTTCAAGATTTTCTTCAAATCTTCTCTGAGCCCCTGGTATTTCTGTAGTTTCTCATGTTCTTTTTTAACTGAGGTTGCAGTCACTTGTTATTGTTACTGTATGTCAACCCCGATGGCTTTCCTCTGCTTTGTGTCCACCACCACCATGGACAAACTGGTATTTATATGCATTAGATAATGTACTATGTTCACAACAGCTTTTAAAAGAGTCAGTCCTCAATACAGGAAGGTAAAATACAATATTCTGTACAATATTCTGCAAAAGGCTCCTAACCAAAGTGGCATAAATCACACTGAAGGTTTTTCCTATGTTCTTGAGTAAAGGTATTAAAAGAGGCCTTACAAAGGCTATTCATTTCTATTTTCAGAATGCCAATTACTGTGCACAGCAGCAGCTTTTGCTATTGAACCAGTTTAAGTCAAACTGTTGTAATACATTATTATCTATTTCAACCCGGTGTGCTGGGTAGATCCTCTCTGTTGGATTTTCATCAGACGAGACAGCCTGCTGAAAATGTAATTCACTGTTTTAGTATAAATCAATAAGCCCCCCAAATCTATTCCCTAACTCCCACCTTTATGTTAATACAAAAGAAATTCCCAAATAGGACTTTAATGCACCGCACAGACTTTCAAGGGGTTTAATAGCCTCTATTTTATCTATAACTGCTCAATTGACACTTAAATTTCGAGCCCATCTTAATTTGCCTTCTCTTGACAATTTTCTGTTCAACTTCTTTTCAGAGCGCAGTCCTCTGCAAGCCGTTTTAATAGAGATTTATTGGCTTGTGCCATTCTGACAGTGATCATCCATTAGGAATTATATCCCATTTGGACATCATGATTCCTTTCTCGCCCACAGAAAAAGAGTAGGTCTAGTGATCATTTTCTGTAATGTTGCACATTTAGCACATGTCTTAGAAGCTGTGTACAAGAATGCCAATACAAAGCAAGTTAAATACTAAATAAGTGGATAAATTTAGAGTGAAAGCTAATTTTGCATTAGAACATTAGAGGACATTGAGATGGTTCTGATGGGGGATATAAATCCTGATGGACTCCCCATCCGAGTATCTTCATTAATCATGCGTCTCATTGGCAAGGCTCTGATTTGCCACTAAGACAGATGAAGATGAACTCAGCAATATATTTCTCATCATAACACAACCCTCACATAAATATTAATAGCATATTTTCAGCTGGTGGGCATGAATCATTTTTTCAGACAGGGAATTTTAAGAGCTATCCATGCGTGTCCAAGAACAGTACATAAAGCGAGTGGTTGTGATAAACAACACCGCTTAAAGGCAACACACTGGAGAGAAAACCTCAACTGTAGCTGAGATTTAAAATGTCTTTATTATGATTTCTTGAGGCAAAAATCTAAAAGTGCATTTTTACATGTGACCTTTTAGTTTGCAAACACAAATATTTGACTTCACCAAATCACTGTTATCCAAAATTATACTTTTTAAAGGTATTTAAATTACTCACCACATAAATTATATTTCAAGGGGATATTTTTTCCTGCTACACTGAGATATTCCTCTTCCTACTGCATTATGAGGAATCAAAAATAGGCGTGAAATTCTTATATTTTAAAGCTGTTCACTGTTAAAATTTTATCACCACGTCGTTTGAACCAAAGAGAACAGAAATGGAGATAAGAAGAGCAAGAAACAGTAGAGTCAAGCGCTTCATACATGGGGGATATGACCCCTATATAATAATGGGGTTTCACATTAAAGTCTAAATTAAATATTAAAAGTTTGGCAGAAAACTCATGAATGGTTCTCAGACTATGATTGGAAAACAGAGTCATAGCAAAGTTGTCTTAAATAAATTGTTTTCATTTTGTCTCCAAGGAGAATTGAGCGATGCAGCAAACTAAAAATGTTATGCATTTTTTGCATACAAGCTTTCACACAACTCAACACACTGATGACATAAAAAACATGAAATATCGAATATGAAATGGTTTAGAAAAAGTATTTCAAACCTAACTTCGGCCACCATCTCAAAACAGCTACCAAACATGTTTTTCTATGCAGCTAAACCATAGCTCTCCTTCGGCCAACTGCTATAAGGGTAACACACATGCCATGTTTTACTTTTTATTATAGGGCAAAGATACATAAGGAGCCTATTATTGCCTGTATTTTTGTTTGATCCTTTGTTTCCCAATGAGAAGCATTAAAAGGAAAGTTCATTAACTGGTCATTTGATTTAACAAAGTAAAAAAACAAAAAACCTGTCATGACGACTGGCTTAATTATTTATTATATTCACCTGTCCAAAACTGCCACTGCTCATCTGATCCACCTGCTCCTGCCTCTATTTAAGGCGCTTACATCCAGTTATCAGGGGCAGATTATTCTCTCTGCCAGTTGAGAGAGGGTTCTTAGCATTCATCAGTGTTTCTGATTACTTGATTCTGACCTGATGTGCCTCTCAACCACTGAGCCTGCCTGTTCCAGTCTGAACGCTTTGCCTGAACTGTCTTTGGACTCCTGGACCTCTGAACCAGTCTGTTCCTGTTCTGATCTGTTTCCCTGGCCTGGCTTTGGACTCCTGGACTTCTGAGCCTTCTTGCTCTGATATGTTTGCCTGACCTAACTCCGGACTCCTGCGTGTTCTCCTGGGCTGCAGCATCAAGGACACTCTGGGCAGTGGGGTTAAAGTTGTCTTAAATCAATTGTTTTCATTTTGCAGCAAACTGAAAGTGTAATGTCTTTGTTCCATACCAGCTTTCACACAACTCAACACACTGATGACATTAAAATTATGAAATGCTGAATATGAAATGGTTCAGAAAAAGTAATTCAGACCTAACTTTGGCCAACATTTCAGACCAGCTACCAAACCTGTTTTTTTTTCCAGCACCTTAACTACAGCTCTCCTTCGGCCAACTGCTATTGGGCTAACACATCTGCCACATTTTATGTTATACATTTAGGGCAAAGATACATAAGAAGCCTATTGTTGCCTGTGTTTTTGTTTGATCCCTTGTTTCCCAATGGGATGTATTAACCCTTTAAAGCCCGATCCAAGAATAAAACAAAACAGAAAATTACTTTTTTTTGGTTTGAAGTCCTTATTTGGCCTTTTAANATTATTTTTTGTGTAGTCTTCTGCCCTCTGTTATCAGGTATATCTGATTGTGTACAATAGGATTTTGAGCAAAGTTTTTACCATTAAATTATGCAAAAGGTGACAGACGCAAAACATTTCAGAAACCGTATGTATCAAATATAATACAGTTGGCATAACAGGGTTAAAGGGAAATTTCATTAAGTTGGTGGTCATTTAATTTATCAAAGCAAAAAAAAATTCCAAACCATCTGAGTGAAAATGTCATTTAAATGTTATTGTTTTTATTGAATAATCATCATCCACATTTTTGTTTCTGTAGTCACAGCTATGCCAAATTACTACCAGACCTGTAAAACTAGGAAATCACTTAAAAAAGAACCCATATGACATGATGAAGCAAAACAGCATGTCCAGCTGCAAATACATTCAATAAATACAAATTAATTAATGTCTGTTTGTCCAGAAGCCATTTCTAAGGTCTCTGGGTTGAACGTTAAACAATATTAAAACTTCCCATGAAAGAAAACCAAACTCCATTAAGAGCATATTAAATATGTTATCAAGGAGTTCATGAAGAGCCCAGAACAAAATCTGTAGTTCTGCAGGCCTTGTTTGCCTGAGTTTAATGTTCATCTAACAGTAAGTGATAGATGGGACGGTAGTGGGACCTAGCCAAAGTCTGAGTTAAATATGTTAGCTACTGTGGTGTTACCTTAATCAAGTTGTTAATGCTCAAAAAAACAAAACAAAAAAACGTTTTTAAAAAAATTTGCGTGGGTTGTTTACAGAAAACCCTCAAAGACTAGGCCAAGTCATCCTTCACAGCCCTGCAAAACACTGACCTATAAAAAAAACTTGATGACAGTTGTTAATAATAAAGATGGTACAAAAAATAATAAATTAGTCGAGGAAACTTTAACTTTTGTATGAATGGTGCTTGCTTGGACATCTCTTTCAGCTCCCACCATATGTATAAGAAAACTGCTTTATAACTTATTTTGATCTATTTTTTGTGTAATAATTTAAATTTTTTGCTTATCTAAAACATTTGGCTGAGATAAAAATAAATCCGGCAGGTTATGAATACATTCACAGTACTGTCGCATTAATTTTAAACAGCTTCTTTGTGTAACATAAGCCTCTTTTGCATTTCAGATATTTATATATCTGACACTTCTGTTTTCATTTAGCTTTCTTTTTAATAAGATGCAAAGATTAATGTAACCCTACTAGCTGGTGTTTCTCTTGATATTATTTTGTCAACGTTTTTCTTTCTTTTATTTATTTATTTATTTATTTATTTATTTTAGGGGAGGGGGTCTGTTAAAGCGAGTCTCTATTTATTTATTTTTTTCTCTATTTTTTTTAAAATCCTACAATACAATTCTCCCATGAACGTTGTTTCTGTTTTGCTTTTTATTTAAAGATCAGCTGTCAGCGTGATCCAGGCTTGTTTGAATTAGCTATCTAAGAACCTTTCAGAGAATTTTTGTTTAGGCCCATAGCTATGTTTGACACATATTTTAGCTGGGCTTCAGCAACAAAAAACCGTCTTAATGTTCTATCTCTTTAATGACCTCAACTATTGTATGATGAGTTATTCATATCATTGCAGGTGTATGACCATGGGTTTAAAGCTGTGGTGGACGGTGAAGAGATGAAGAGTGTGGTGGAGATCAAACCAGACGACCTCACTGAGATCCTTAGAATGGGAAACGGCACTAAGGAGGTTGTGGAGGTGCATGACTTTAAGAATGTAAGTAAAAGGTTAAACAAGTCTATATTGAGCTGACCCTTTTTAATGTAAAAGTGACACTTCAATTGTAGCTTCAGTTCAGAAGGTAAACACTCTCAGACAGCTTTTATCTTTTGATCAGATCAATTAACAATTTTTTCTCTCAGGTTTTGTTCCATTTAAATTGAAAAATTGTTTGACAAACCACATAAATATTGGAAAGATTAATAATTTCTTTTTTAAAACATTAAAAAATTTAAAATAGTGCTTTTTAAAAATATTTTTATATACACATGAGTAAATGGTGCTAAAGCAGAAGCAGAAGTTGAGATTTATGTGCATTCAACAGCCAGGAAAGCACAATCAGTCTTACTAAAAAAAGTGCTTTCTTCCTACTAATTCTATACAGCAACTTCTTTACAGTACAAACACAAACACCATTAAGAAACCCTTCTCTACGTGTTTCTCACACTTTTTTCTCAACTGCAATTTTGTCTGCAGTAAAACTCATTAACTTACCTTTCATTCCCAAATCCTGCTTGAGTGTGCAGCATGTTCCACATTCTGCACCTAGGAGAAAGGAGTGTGCAGCTTGACTGGGTAATGAATGCTCTTACTCTCACTCCATTATTTACTGTGAAATGTTGGGGTTGTGAGGCTGAATGTTACAGGATGCGCTTCATCCCAGACAAAAACAAAAAACATACCGAGCAGTTATTGTTTTTGTTACAATGGTGTTTGTGAGTGGAAAATGAATCAATAATGAAAATCAACTCAGAGAAGAACTACTTCAACTTCTGAAGTCTCCATCTTCCCCACCAATAAAAGTAATAAATGTATTTCTGTATGAATAAATAGGAAACATGAATAAACACATCTGCTTTTTGTTGTCCCACTTTCTGTGGATGAAAAGGAAACCATATAGATAGGTTTTTCTTTCTTTTTTTTTATGTGGTCCTTCACCACTAAAATAAAGAAACTAAAAACTGAATGCAGTGATTTAAGACTCGTTGTAAGAGAAGAAGCAAAAAAAAAAAATAATAATAATAAAAGCTACAGTGGTTTGTAGGTAGCTTGTGCTCAGTTATTTTAGAATTGATTTTTTTAGGATAAGAAAGAGTGAATATCCTTGGTTGTTATAGGGACCAAATCACCTTCAAATATGAACTCAATCAAACCTGGGAGCTGTTGAGAGGAGTGGAAAATGAAACTATTATTCCCCTAGGGCGGTGAGCCACTCTCTTTGTACCAGCTAGGGAAAGAAGACACCCTGAGAAAATATTGTCTGGTTAATCTTTATACTGCAGCCTTCAATCTGACTTTTTCAAAATATTTAAATGTATCAACTTTTAGCTCAAAATGGTCCAAACTTTTGGCTTTGTGCCTTCTATATGAGATTGCTATACAGAACAGCTTCTTAAAGGGACAATAAATAAGAAATGAACTGTAAATTTAACCAAAACCATACTCATTTGTCACCAGGGATGGAAGTAACATTCCGGAAAAAACAATTTATTAACAATGTCTCTGTAACGTTTTTCTCCTTTCAAACCTAAAGGTACAGTCCGGAACTACTAGGGTGCAGTATATAGACCATGTTTACCTCCTGGTCCTGAGTTAATTATGTTGGTATAAGAGCAGCAGCATCTAAACATGGAAGCCAGCAAGAGAAGCAGTCCAGAAATGGTCTCAACAAAACCTAACAAACCTCGACATCCTTCTAAAGTATTTGCTACTGACAGTGGCTGAATGATCTTGACCTGTCATCTTGAATTTAGCTGCATGAAATCCTTGTCTGTAGTACAGCCCCTAGTTTCCGGAGGTGGGGGGCTATGTGTTTGGTGTATTGAAATGCTAGGTGTCTTTACTACTTATCGCTAACACTTACTGCTATGATAATGTTTGCACTTACATTTCTAACATGTTGCTATATGTTTTAATCATCATAAGAGCATGCAAGGTTAATAAAAGATATATACAGCCAAATAAAATTGAAACCCATAATTCACAACAATTGCAAACCAACAGATATAAAACATAAGACCTGAAACGTAACAAAGAGAACTGGGATTTATACAGGAGTGGGAAAATGACTGGTGATGAATGGATGGAGATTTGACTATAAGGGAAACAGTGAAGCAATTATAAAACAGAACATTAAATGATCAATTTTCCAGGTTTGGATACATCAGGTATAAATAAGTTATAATTTCTGTAATTTGTATGATTATAAATTGTTTCTGAATTGAGTTATCAGTTTCTTAAAATATCTTGCCTTTAAATAGGTTTGTATTTCATTTTTATCCCTGTTCTTTTTGATATCAACTTCAAATTGGGTTTAAAACTACAAGATATGATTAAAAAGTTACTGAGAAATACACAATGGATAAACCAAAAATAAAGAGCCATTTCACGTTTTATATGTGAGGTATGGTTCCCTTGTGTAAACTCCCTATGGAACATGTTCCTATAGCAAAAGGTGAAATAAGTTTTAAAAAAGAACAAAACAGTTTCAGTCTAAATTGTTTGTGTGGTTTTTGCCCTTAACCAAAATCTATTTCATGTACTAATACTTTAAAGGAAGTCTGGTCATATTCAGAATTCAAACTTTTGAAATATGAAATTGTTACATACTGTTCAATAAGTTATTAGTGTTTTTAATTAAGAGTAATTTCATTTGAATTTGCTTTATGGACACAGCCCTGTTTGTCAAAGAGCACTACTGCCACCTACCGGTTTGTGACGTCACGGTGTGATATTGGCTGTTGAGCAAGTCCTAATGCTGTATCTGGTGTTTGTCAAAATGTGCTATTCTACAACTCATCTTGAAAACATTTTTCTTCCAAATGTTGGCTACATATTGATCCTCTCTCCAAAATCCTCCCTCTTCAAGTTGGAAATCCAACGACGAACTCGTGGTGGATTACGAATCAGAGAGGTGAAATAACACTTCTTTTTTTTCACTTTTACCTGATGTATTACAACATCCAACTGCCATGCACATGGGCATTGTCTATTTAACCATAGCTCTTGCGAATTTCAATGATGAAGTCCTCTCGAAATCTTAAATAATTGTTGTTGGTTGCAGATGTGTCTAGTAGCTCCCATTGATTTTGCTTGTAAAGCGGGAAGAATGGCGCTAGGCTTAGAGCACCATGACGTCACTGTCGGAAGATGTCAGGAGTGAGGTGTTACTATATTTGGGCAAAATGTCTGGTCCTACACTCATTGCTTGCGACTAAAATTTTTTATTTTTTATTTCTTAACTAATTAACACTTAAATCACTGAAAACTTATTAGTTTTAGGTATAGATAACGATCCATTGACCATTCCTTGCTGACCGCACTTTTCCTTTCCATTCCAACTATGGAGTGTATTTCTGATCTTAGCTCGAGCTATCATGCAGAAATAAGCTTATACACTGAGGTTAAAATTAAAAAAATAACTTTCTGGTACTTGTAAATATATCATTCTAATGAGAAGAAAAATATACAATTTATTAAAATATGAATTAAGAAATGTTTATTAACAACATTAATCCAAGGAAAGAAGTATTATAAAAAAGTTTGTTATATATTTAAAGCTCCAATATAACCTTCAGATCTAATCTTGATTAAGTGTATATGTTATTAAATCATAATTAGGGGAGACCAGGTGACAGCAATTTAAAGCTTTATAAATATCTGAATGTTCAAACCTTGTTACAGCAATCAGCTAGCAGCACCCTAACATTATGAAAATTAAAGTAATTTAAGTTCACAAAGCTGTAGAAGACCTTAAAAGAACAGCAAAGTGATTTCAGGGGTCATTTCCTTGGTTTGTACCGTAATTAAGCAGTGGAAGTCAGCAGAAATAATAGTTTTAAAGTGGTAGACCAATAAATCAAAACAGCTTGTTGGACTGCTAGAGAGGAAAATAAAACCCTCTATCTGACTGCCAGAGGCCTGCTGGATGATTTAACAGATGCTTTGGTGTTTCTGCTGGGACATTTGACCTTGACATAGAAAAGCCTTCCTTTGTCCTCAAAACAAAACAAAGCATGGAATTTTTTTAGACTTAAACTTTGAAAAGTTGTAAAACAAATAATATATTTGACAAATGATTAGTTTGGGTTTGATTGACCTTTAAAGACATACAGATGTAAAGATTACAAAAACTGTTGAGGCTGGTTTAAAAAGAGAACAAATCAAAAAATATATGTATATATTTTGAAAACCCCTGTAATGACAAGAAATGTGTTTTGTTTCCTATGAATTTCAACCAGCAACATGTTTTTTTTTTCTTTTTGTACGAGTTTGTAGGGGGGAGCAATGTGTATTGCTGGTGTCTGACCTTAAATAGATTTTTTTGTACAACTAAAGGGATATACACGCCCGTTGAGGTATTTGAAAGTGCATTTTTCATACAAAAATAAATGGATAAATGCAAATCTGAGTTCTTGGGCATGCGTATTGACTATGGGTATGCTGGTCTGACGGGGTATGCTGATCTGACAGAACACCGAAAAAGAATTCATAAAGAATTCTCGTGCAGAATTTATCTGGTATATTGTTTTATCTCAACAATAAATCAATTTACAACTTAGATCCATTTAACAGGCATCCAGTCTAAGTAAAACTCCATATGAGGGTAAACATCAATGACCGACCACTTTTTTAAATGTTCATGTGCATCAGTTTCATTTAAAACAGACAGAACTGTCTTTGTTCTGTAAAAGGAAAACACATGTTATAAATGTTTCACTTCACCAGCTCATGTTAAACAAGAGTAAGCAGTGTCTCTCTTTCATTTACCACCTGGCAGTTTTTGATCAGGCAGCACAGACACAACCTTCAGACATGAAGGCTGCTACCTCTCTGCAAAGATATCGGGATATTTGGCTCCTTTTGTGCTGCAGAAGCTGTCAGTAATCAGTTTTGGCTTCCTTCCTTCAAATGGCATCTAGCCTGAAGTATGAGGTATCCAGCTGCAATAAATAAACACAGATGCTGTGAGAAAACAGCAGATGACAAACATTTTC